TCTTGGAAGTAGGGACACAAATGTGGTGCCAGTGTGGTGGGGAGACTACCTCAGCCTGAACCCAAGCTATCACAAGCCAGCCCTAACAGGGAGCTTCTGACCAGAACAATCTTTAAGCGATTTCTGCCTGTTGGAATGACAGAGTCTGATGCTGGGTTGAGATGGACTTTTCTATCCCCAAATGCTCTAGAAACCAACTAGAGACCCAGCATCTCCTGGATAACCAGTGTGGACCAAGAAAGCAAACACCAAATACCTTCTCTTCTCATCTGCTCCTCTCCCCTACTCTCTTTTCTCTTCCAGACCTTAGGATGCTCTCCTCCCTTAGAACCTACAGGTTGCTGGACACCTGTAACCCTCACACCTATAATCCTAGCTACTCAGAAGGCTGAGATCTGAAGATCGCAGTTCTAAGCCAGCCCAAACAAGAAAGACCATGAGACTTTTATCTCCAACAAACCACCAAAAAGCCAAAAATAAAAGTGTAGCTTAACTGGTAGAACACCGGCCTTGAGCAAAAAAGCTCAGGGACAGTACCCAGGCCCTGAGTTTAGGCCTCTGGACCAACAAAAAAGAACTTATGGGTTGTACCAGGAGCCTTTCATCCCAGCCTCAGTTGCTCCTCCTCCTTCCATGCTTCCATTACAGCTCAGCCCTTGTCTCTATGCATGCAGCCCAAACACCAGCAGGGAATTTCAGAGGTGAAGGCCCTGGGAAGATCATTATTCCTCAGTTCCCAGGAAAGAATACATGCAAAAAGCTGGGAGGAGGAGATGTTTCTAGCCTGTATGTTCGTTTATTCATCAATCATTCATTTATTCATTAATCATTCATCCGCCACCCATCAATCATTCATCTGCTTACTTATTCATTCAGTTTGTACCTCTTGCTTGCTTTGGTTGCCACAGATGTTGGTCTGTTCCTGCTTTGATCTGTCCCCAATTTTTTTGTGTGTGGCAGCTGCACAGCAGAAGCCTTCTGATGAACCTCATGGAGTACCTGTCTACGAAGGCTTCCCTCAGAGAGGCCCGAGGCAACCAAAGGGTCAGTTCAGAGTCCTCTGCCTGCAAGGTCCCTTCTGTGTTAAAATCCAGACATCTGGTCCAAGGGTCAGTGGGAAGGGATGGGAAAGACTTCAGAGGGGTCTCCAGGGCCATGCAGGGAAATAATGGTCTGACATGCCTCACTGTGTATGAGCTCTGCCTAGTTGAAAACTATTATTCTGGTGTTTCTAGGAGGTAAGGGACAACAGGAGACATTCTGAGCCCCTGAGTCTGGCTCTGAGGCCTGCGTTCAGCATGGTGGACTCAGAGGACACCGTATGGGGGAGACTGAGACTGCAGGTTTAGAGTTGAAGCTGTGGGCCTCTGGACAAGTTTCCCGGCTTCCATCATCCCTATCTCACCTCATCCTCTAAAGTCCACTCAGTCACCACCAGAGGTCCTTTACGATAAGCCAGGCTACCTTCTGCCTGTGCTATGAAACTCGCCCTGACTTTCCATTCATCAGAACAGAGCCCAAACTGCTGGTCCCTTTAATCCCCCACTATCTTTGGCCTTTCAGCCCTGCCTGCCTTGTTCTTCCTAACCTGGCCAGCCACACACCTGCCTCAGCAGTACGGCTGTCCTTCCCCAAAGTTTCCTCTCCTTCAAGTCTTTCCTCTGTTGACACCTTCCCTGGGAGCCTGCCCTGCCCCCATCCCATTTAAATTTGCAAACCACATGCTCAGATGCACCAGCTAAACCCTCCCCAAACCCATTCTTTCACACTCATCACCCTCTAACATACTCTATAATTTACTTCTTGTTCCTGCTGGTTTTGTCTGTCTCTGACTGCTGTGACCTACTCTAGAATAGGGGTCTGGGTCTGGTCTGTTTCCTTCTCTATCTATCTCTATCTGGTACCGAACAGGGGCTGAGAAAATTTCTCCTTGAATGCATGCTCAAATGAATGAATGAATGGGATGTAGGAAGTTCTGAAAACAAAGTTCATGAAGCCATGAGCCCGTGGAGTTTGGAGTTTTGTAGAGTAGAATTTAGGATACCCACTGTGGTCTCTGACAGCTACGCTGGGACGAAAGGAGCCCAGGAACTTGCCCGCTGCTGCCCAGCTCTCTCTCCGAGGGAGGGAAGGTAGGCAGCAGTGTGGGCGGGGATTGTGCTAACTCAAGATGCCAGCTCCGTGCTGCTCTGGGGCTGGCTCACGCTCTGGATGTCATTAGCTGATTTGTTCTGCTCTGCAGAATGTACTTTTCATATTTAGGCAGGAAAAAAAAAAAGCTTTCGATCCTCGTGGCCTTTCTTCTGTGAGCTGTAGCACATGGCCTGCTTATTATGAATTAATCCTCTAAAGAGCATGTTCATTATTCTAATTTAATTGTGTTTCGTTTCAGAAAATAACTAAACCCAGTGCGGAATAAACTTCCAACGCTGATCGGTTTTCAAGAAGTTAACCTAAGACAAAATACTGCTAGAGGGCAGCAGCAATTTGGAATCATTAAAGGGAACCCATGTAAATAATAAAAACAAAACTAAAATGCAGAATTAAATTAAGGAATAGGAAATTAAATTTGTGAATCTAATCTGAAATTGAGGCCTCATATGCACAGGCTTACCCTGGCTTGGCTCTTCACTCAGGAGTACTCAGGCCCAGGAGGTTCTACATGGGGTGCAAGCCCCAGGACACAGACATGGCAGCTCTTCTTCCCGAGTGACAACGTGTGAGGGAGGAAGGAGGCTCTTCGCCTATGGGGTCCTCTCTTTTGCACATGAAAGCTGCATTGGCACGTCCACATCTGGATGACTCTTGCAGAGCCCCAGTGTCTGGGGAAAGAGAACACACACTGCTATGCACTAAGAGAAGGCGCTGGGAATGAGCAGCTAGATGGGGCATAAGGGGGCTCCAGGACAGAGCTATGGGAGGTAAAATGGCTGTTCTTTACCTCTGGGGTCTAGCCCCTCCCACAGGTGACTAAGCTCAGGCCAGACTAGTGGACTTGCCCTCTGGCTAGGCAGTGGTGCCTAAGAAGGGTCCTGACCTTCCCACTAACAGCATGAGAGCCCAGTTCCACATGAGGGACATCCAGCTTCAGCCCTCATAACAGGTGAGGCCTTTAGTAAAAGAGAGAGAGGGAGTAGAGTGGGAGAACCAATGTGCAGACTTGGAGGTACCAAGAGTTAGGAGTACAGAGTTAGCACATGGCTCAGACTCTGTTGTATATTTTTCCATGATTTCCCTTAGGCCCTGTCCCTGGTTGTTTTCTTCCCATCTCTCTTCTCAACATGAGAAGACCTCAGCCTTCCAAGCCACTCAGGCCAGTCTAGAGTCACAGGGCTTCCTCCCTACCTTAGACTGAGCTTGAACAAACTCTCTCACCTTCCTTAACCTCAGTCTCTCCATAGGTAATAATAGTAGTAATACTGCCCACTTTAGACTGTTCCAAGCAATAGATCAATTAAAGTACAGAATGATCTCTCCGGCACTTCTGCTATTTCCTGTTCTGTTTCACCCAGTATGTGTTCCAGGCATTCTGTACACATACATACACACTTACGTCTACACAGGATGTCCATCCTCTGTCAACGGCCTTAGGCTGTTTCTAGAACAAGAAATAGTGGGGGAAGGGGGAGAAAGTCCAATTGACTGCTTTGATTCACAAAAGCAAACATTCAAACAGATGGTCATATAAAAGCAACTGAGGGAAGTTTCCCATTTCCATCTTCATCGTGGGTGAAACGTCAATAAATTGGCCACCTCAGAATTGATCTTTGGTTTTGAAAAATGAACCAGCAAAAGGAGAAGAAGAGACATAGAAACAAAGCCACTTTTCCTTGTGTAATTTGCATCCTGATCAAGGAAATGATGCACATACTTTAGACCACAATGCAATTGATTAGTCAGTTAATTAAACAGTGATTACATTTAAAACTATCAAATATGGAGAGAAGAAAGGAAAGAAAGAGTCAAAAATTTTCTTGAAATTCCCTGATTACCTCTCCAATTTCATTTCGTTAATTATTCCCAGAGAATGTGCTAGATCTTTTGCCCATCCTTTTGCTTGTGCCTATAAAACAAAAGCAACATGATGCACACCAATCTCAGAACAAACCTAGAAACCCTAGAGCATCCATGTGGTATGGATATAAGCACCCATGAAAATCCACTTTAGTGGTGACAGACAGGGGAAGCAAGTTTTGACCTCAGGCATCAGGGACGAGGGGTTACCCAAAGATAAGGACCAGGGACAGGAAACTACCCAGTTGACCTATACATAGATGCTCAGCAAATGCTGAACAATGACCCTGCTGACCTTAAAGGTTAATTTAAGAAAAAGGCGTCAACAGTCAGGTATGGAGTTCTCATCTGTTATCCAAGCTCTCTGGAGACTGAAGCAAAGGCATTTTGAGTCTAAGACCAGCCTGAGCTACATAGCAAGACCTTGTTTCAAAGACACCAAAACAGAAGAGAAGAGAAAAGAAACTAAAAATAATAAGGAAAAAAAAAGGACACCAAAACCTTGAGATACCGAGTATGACAGAAGAAATCCCCCGCAGGGGCCTTGTCCAGTAGGTCCTTCACCTGAGAGGTTGATTTCTAGAACCTTGGAATAAGCTTGGCTGGTTAAATGACGTTATACACTGCTTGTTTGTGTCCCTCCAAAATTCACACTGAAACTCTAACCCCCATGAGATTATATTAGAAGGTAGAGCTGCTGAGAGGTAATTAGGTTTAGATGAGGTCATACAGGTAGAACCTTAGGAGGGAAATAGTGTCTTTATACAACAAAAGAATTGACTAGAGCCTCATGAGGACAAATTAAGAAGATGGCTATGTATAGACTAAACCTAGTGTGCCAGCACCTTGATCGTGGACTTCCCAGCTTCCAGATCTGTAAGCAAGACATGTTTACTGTGCAAGTCACGTATGGTATTTTTAAATTGATAAGGACAAATGGTTTCTGTATTTTGTTTTATTTAGGAGAGGGGGTGCTGGAGCTCAAATCTAGGGTCTCAACATGCTAAGCAAGTTCTCTACCATTGAGCTACATTTTGCAATCTGGTGGCTATATTTCAGTCCTCAATAAAAACTTCTGCTTCCAGAAGATGGACTTGCCTACTGTAAGAGAATCTATATAGAGGCAAACTCACCATTTGACTGTGAAGGCTCAAGTTATATCTCTTCAACAGAAAAGCTTCCAGGGTCAAAGTGACCTCTGACCTAACCAAATCCCTTTCCATATGACATCAAGTATCTTATGTGACCCATCCATGCATAAAATGCATTCTCTCTCTGGACAATTTAAACATTATTGTTAAAATATTAACAATAATTGACAATATTTACTAAGCACTTACTAAATGCTAAGCATTTCTTCTAATCACTTTATAAGAATTGGTTCATTTAGGGATGGGATATAGCTCAATGATAGAGTACTTACCTAACATAATGCTGGGTTCAGTTCCCAGCATCACACACAAACATGGTGGTGAAGTGGGAAGGAGAGAGAGAGAATATATCAGCTTATTTAATCCTCATATCCACTATGTGAGAGGATATTACCCCCATTTGATAGATGGGGAAGTTGAGACCACAAAGATCCAGCACAATGACCATTATAACAACAAAATGTGGTAGCGTTAGCGTTTGAACCCCAACAATACACACAACTCTGAGGCCTCCAGACCCAATTCCCCTGCTTCCAAATCTATACAAGCCACGTAGACAAGGGAATTCTCTGAGCCTTCAGTGATTCACATCTGGAAAGGAGGTTCGTGTCTTTTAGTTGCCTTCATGCCACTTTTCTCCCTGGATCCTATGGAACAGAGAGGTTAGAAATTCTTGGTCATCTTTGCCTTTGGGCAAATGTTGTGGCCTAGGCTGTGTGGGCGATGTGGGTTATCCACACATAAGACCATGCTAGATTGTGTTTTATGGATCAACTGCTCCCCCCCTCCCCCGCCCCCTCAGGTTTGGCATCCTATAGAACATGCCTAGAGGAAACAGCCTTGTCAGTGTGCAGGTACTTGTGTAAATTCCAGACCCTGGTTTTAAGACATACATCTGCAGTGGGCATATGTACTGCAATAGATGAAAACAGGAATGGGGTTCCTTTGTATCTGTATTATTAGATTTGACCTCCCATCGCAACAGCAAAGAAAGAGTGGAAAATTAAAGGTGATTTGATATTAGCCTCCTATTCATATTAGAAAAAGTAACTGCTCTTGCGGTTTTCCTCACAGAGGTGTCTTTATTCATTTGACATGCCTTTAATAACTAATTCTAGTTGTCTGCTTGCCAAGAAAGATTTCCTACGGGCAGACTTGAAAGTGACTCGGAACTCTTTGCATGCCCGGCTTCAAATGATCCCAGAACAGCAAACATTCAGCTTCCCTCCAGACTTCTGAAGTGTGGGAATAACATGAAAGAATGAACAGAAATCATTCTGCAGCCTGCATATGCTACAAGAAGAGTTGTCTGGCAGAGGCTGGATCTACATGGACCAGGCATAGTGAGATTTGGAAATAACCTCATGAATTTTATCTGTGGAGTCAGCCAAACCAAATGATTTATTTCAAGAAAATAAATCTACTTTGGGGCAAAAATGATCCAGGTCAGCCATAAACAGACGGAGCTTTTCTCCATCTGGATAGACCTAGGGTGGGCAGAGAAAGACAGAGAAAGCCGCCATGATTGCTCTCCTAGTGTCCCAAGCAAAGAACATAAATATTCATTACAGGATATTCATTTGCAGATGCCAGGCTAAGCAGATGGCATACATAATCCTATTTGATCTCCCCCAGATTCCTACCTGTGGGGTAATACTACCAGTGTTCCCACTTTATGGATATAAAAACTGAGCCTCTGAGATGTTAAATAACTTACCTTTGGAAGCAAGTTCTGGAGACAGAAGTCTTCCGGTTGTTCATTCGGTATTCCCTTTTCTCTCTGGGTACATACACAGAGCTGACATTTCTCAGGTTCCTTTGCAGTTAGAGATTCAATTCTGGTCAATAGAAAGTAGATGGAACTGGTATACATTATTGACACTTCCGATCCATTAATCCTGCCTATCCACAATTCTTTTTTCTGAGTTAATGACTGAATGGATAAGCTTCTGAGGACCAAGAAGAAAACTTTGGTATAGACGATACGGGATCTTCAATGACTGCCCTTCTTTGTCAACCTGCATTGGATGGTGATATGTTAGAAATTATCTTCTACTGTGTGAAATGTGGTTTCCAGTGGAAAGCTAAGCTGACAAATACAACTCAACGACTCCAAGCCTGTGCTCTTAACCTATTCATCAGCAACTAATCTGGTCCAACCAGGCTATCCCCAGGAAACATAAGGAAGATGCAACCATTGTGTGTGTGTGTGTGTGTGTGTGTGTGTGTGTGTGTGTGTGTGTGTGTATACGCACGCATGTGCAATTATTGGGGCTCAAAATTCAGGGCAAGGATACTATTCTTTAGCTTTTCACTCAAGGCTGGTGCTCTACTACTGGAACCATACCTCCACTTCCAGTTTTTTTTTTATGACTAATTGAGGATAGGAGTCTCACAGACTTTCCTGTCTGGGCTGGCTTCAAACTGCCATCCTCAGATCTTAGTCTCCCGAGTGGCTAGGATTATAGGCATGAGCCACTAGAACTGGAATATAAACTTCTTTTCTTTTTTCAGTGCTGGGGATGGAATCTAACACCTAGCTCAGCCCAGCCCTTGCTCTCTTTTTAGTCCCCTTTCTACTTCTTGCTCTATAGAGCCTTAGGCGCTTATTTTTTCAGCGTTCTGGTTTCCTAGCTATATGAACACATGCTTACTTTTAAAGAATCTGATTTAAATTATGCATCCTATCTCAAGGTCATCTCCATTGTGGGGCTCTGCAGCTCGAGTGGCCTTTGGTTTCTCCTTTCCCATGCTGACACATCTGCTCAATGACTGTCTCTTTTCTCCTCTTGCCCTTCATTGTATGTCCTCCAGCAGGGCTCTTTGCCAGCCCTCATCATATCTTGGTTGGCTTCATCATAACACCTCCCAAATGTGTCTCCTCCTCTCCAGCCTAACATTCCGATGCCGTCGAAAGAGCCTACCTAAAATTGCCTGACCTCAGTATTCTCCGCACGAAAATTTTCCATGTAAAGTCTTCCAATAGCCAACATACAATAATACCCTTTGATACAAGTGATTTCATGTCTATGAATTTACAGATACATGCGTAAAATTATTTACAAGAACATTCACTGCATTTATTGTTTTGAAGTAACGAAAGACTGAAAAGCCAAATGTTCGTCAATAGAGTTATTAAATATACGATAGAACACAATGAGCTCCACTCAAAAATCTCTAGCGTCTGTGATGAAGCATAATAAGCAAGATATAACAGGTTAAGAGTTGTGTTGAAAAGGCATTAGGGAGATATATTCAACTATATGTTTGCAAAGAGATGGACTATCACTGAAAGAATGCACAAGAAACTGGTAGATGCTTTGGGAAAGGGAACTAGAAGCTGGAAATGTATTGTTTGAAGATTTTTATCCTTTGCGTGTATTACTTTACATTAAAATAAAATGCAACTCCCTAATGCTTATTTGAAAAAAATCCAAATCCCTTAGTAGGAAAAGAAGGAGTCCAAGCTCTGGCTCCAACGTGTTTTTCCTTGCTTGCTCTCTCACTCAACCCACTGGACACATTCCTCTCCTCCCTCATTTCTGTGCCTTTGTTTAGGCTTCTCTCTCCCCTGGAAAGTCCCATTCCTGCTCAGCAGAAACTAATCTCATCGGTAATCTCTCTCTCTCTCTCTCTCTCTCTCTCTCTGTCTCCGTCTCTCATAACCATGTAGTATGGCCCTTTATCCTGATTGTTATATAGAAGTCGATGTCTTTCTTTCCTACAGGAGGACATGATATCTTACACAGGAAAAACGTTGTAAATATTCATGCATCTTGAATCAAAGCTATAATCCTTTGTATCTCAGTGCCAGCTCCTGGGCATGGCTGGGAAGGAAGAGAGGGATGAACTGGTCCTTCCCCATCAGGAAAGAGCAAGATTAGAAACGTGCCTTGTCCTGCTAGATGAATGGACAAGGTAAATATTACTTCTCAGCCTGGGACATTCTGCAAGAACAGACTTGTCCTTTCTCTGTTTTTGCTGTGGTTCACTCCCAAGCCTCCCTCTCATCCCTCGGGATAAAGACCCACCATATCAGCGGTATGCTGTGCTGAAGACTGTACCAGCTCTGTGGAATCAGGCGGACTACACCACGCTTTCTGAGCAGAGAGACATCCATTGCCCTGGACCACAGTCTAGGGTTTAAACTCAGTTGTCACAATTATTTGAAGCCTATTAAGTTTATTTATGTTCCAAAGCAGGTCCACTAGAGAAGGACCATCATAGTCGTAAATATCAGGACTGCTGTTCTCCAGGCACAGCTGGCCTCGGGCCCCTCCCCTTCCCAGCTCTGCAGGCCTCCCTTATAGGCAGGAACTATGCTCTGCAGGACCAATTCTGTCAGCGCAGCCAATGCAACCAACACACACTTCTACACATTTGGTATGACAGGAGTGTTTGAGCAACACTCAGCCATGGGAGGGATGGGACCTTCTAGACTTGCCCACGTCAAATACAGAAGGTTTGGGAACTCCGGAGGGCAGGCTTTCTCTTCAAAGACCAAGGAGACCTAAGGATGGACATCAAACTCTGGCAGGTCTGCTGCCCTTCCAACTCAATCTAACTGTCCTTAAGAGATGGGGTTGAAGGTGCAGCTCCATTGGTAAAAATGCCAGCCAATGAGCAAAAGTATCAGATACTGAGTTTGAGTCCCAGGCTTGGAGAAAAATATTAACAGAAAAGAGAACAAAAGATTAGTTTCACAATCTGCTGAATATGCCCTCCAAGCTCTTGCGTGGGTGAGGGTTTTATCATTTCACCCATTGGTGTGGTTTGGAGGAAATCATTTAACCCTAAGAAGAGTGTTTCCCGGAGCATATCCCGTGGCGTGTGGTGCATAGGATTCTCCATGACAAAATAAAGGAGACTCTGTGCTCCAAAACATATTTAAGAAACACTGAATCCAGATGATCCTCTGAGGAGAGTCATGGGCATATTTGCATACTAAAGGCCTTGCAATAAAGAGATCTGTGTAACTCAGTGTTTGCCAGAAGAATCGTCTTTTGGCGAGATCTGTGACAACCCCTTCCTAGGATGTTTCATGGTACACCTCATGGGGAAAGTGCCTTTAGAATCATTTCTCCTTTCCCAAAAGCTGCATGAGTACAAGTGGAGCAGGTCTCCCCCTTCCCCTTCCCTGTCTTCTAGTTCTCAAATGTTGAGCCAGTCTCCACCTGCCTGGACACAAGTGCTCTATTTCTAATAGCTCCTTCTTTCTTTGCCTCAACCCAGGATGCTGGTATAGGAAGAGGAGTGCCAGTTACAACTTCCACCCACTAGCCCATCCATCCTTCCACCGGCCTGGAGATTGGTCCTCAGTCTAGATCCATTGGCTGATGACATTGTTACTGTTTCTTATTACTAAAGGAGGAGACGGAAAACCTGCTATGTGTCCTGCTTCCCCAACTTTTGTCAAGCCGGGCCTCCTCCAAGAAGCCTCACTTAGTAACCAGAGCAGGCACTGTTGGTTTAGGACAGTGGTTGTCAAAATATGGTGTCTGGATTAGCTACAGAGCAGCAGCAGCAGCAGCAGGGAACTTGCTAACAATTACAACATCTCAGACTCCTACCCAACTGGACACTCAGGAGATAATTCTGACGTGAACCGTTAGTCTAAGATTTGGGCAATCTCTTTCTCTAAACAAATTCTATTCTACATCACTCATTTTCTATAATCATTTTTATTTCTATCATACCTAATCCCAAAAAGAATGTGGGAGGCCAATTCTAAAATACTTGGATGCTAGTATAACTAAACACTTGACAGAGAGAGCCTCTCCCCTCCAGTATCTGCCAGGCTCACCTCCTCACCTCCTCCAGGTTTGGCTGGAGTCCTTCCTTGACCATCTCTAAACATCCACTCCTTCCTGAGGCCTCTTTCTCACTCTCTTCTATCTTCTGCTTTATTTTTCTCCTTAGTGCTTGTGACCATTTAATGCCTATGCAATGTATAATTTCTTATGTTTGTTATTTCTTTTCTCTGCATTGTAAGCCAACTGGCACTCTCCATCTATTTTGTTCCTTGCTTCATGCCCAGCATCCCAATCAACTCCACTTCCACATATATTTGTTCAATAAATGAACTTCACTTTGAGATCTGCCATTGAGTTTTACTCTGAGCCTCTTCGTAGCCAAACACACACAAAGTTCTATGGGAATCGAGACTCTGTTTGGGAAGGACAGATTCCATGGACATCTTCCTTTGTCAGCATTTCCAGTCCCCAGAGGCTCTATGTCAGAGCAGCACTGGGGATTAGGCTGATTCCATCCTCACTGACCCCATCCCAGAAAAGTGTCGCTTTGCTTTCCAATGAGATGTCCAGGCAGACTCCTGCCCACAGATGTCTGGGCTGAAACCATCTCCTAGCAGGAAAAGCAAAAAGGGCACAGGACTTGTAAATATATGTGTGTGTGTGTATACATATGTATATACATATATATGTATGGTTACTTCCAAGCTGAGTCTATCCGCAGGTTCCTGAAACATAGATTCAACCAACTGTGGATTAAAGATGTTTAAAAACAATAATTGCATCTATATTGAACATGTACAGTCATTTTCCTTGTTCTTATTCCCTACATAATATAGTATAAGAGTTAGTCATGTATAGGCACCTGGTTTTAGGTACTTAAGTGACCTAGAGATGATTTAAATATGTAAGAGTATATTATGGGTTAAACCGAAAAGTTACATCTGTAGCTTGAACATCTGTAGCTTTTGGGGACCCCCCAAGGGACTCCTGGAACAAATGACCCTCAGATGCTGAGGGGCGACTATAGTCAGCTTTGTAGGTGAAATGTGGCAGAGGAAGAAGGGAGGAGGGAGAAGAGAATTCATCCATATTGAGTTCTTTCCAAATGCCAAAAGAATCGCCCCCACCTTGGGAGAATGTGTCCAGCCCTGATAAATTTATAAAGTATTTGACCTTTAATCAATCCTAATATTTTCAATCCACAGAGCCTTCTTAAACGCCTGCAGCCCTACCCCAGAACCCCTATTCATCACAATTACTGCTCCAACTGTCAGAGGCAGGGCATGAAATGGCGCACGCTGACGTCCAATATTTTATCACTAATAAAGAGAAACATCCAAAGTATTTGCACAGTTCTGATATTTTCCAGCCCTGAGCCCAGGAAAAGGGGGAGCATGATGATTTATGCTCACTACCCAGCATTGTTAATTAGCTTTCTCAGCCAGGAGCCCTGGGGATTAGGGGTGGGGGAAACCTGCTTTTCTTTGCCTCCGGGTCCTGGCCATGGCACACAGTAGGCCCTTCACCCGGCATCTGGGAAATGGTGTAAAGCACTATAAAGGCAATTTTTCACAACCAACGTTTGGCAAGTATATGCTTACCCTGGTGGCTTCATAAACAGATCCAATGTTTATGAGGAATCTTGTTCTAGTTGTTGCCAAGGCTCAATCCTCCCCCAGTTCCTGGTCTTGCTTCCCTGCCTCACTCTCCCACCCCATCCCCAGGCAAGTTGGGCCACCCAGCCCCAGTCCCTTCTGGATTCAAAGTCCCTCCCTCTCAGTCCCCCAGCTCCAAGTAGAAGGAAGCTGATGGAAGGGCATTCAAAAGACCCACAGGCAGGCTACATCTTCATAGTGCCCAAATGTCTGGATGAAAAGTAAATAAAACAAGCAGATGTTTTTTCTCCTGCAGGATAGCAGGTGCCACAGCAGAGTCCTTCAGCCTCAGGCTGTAAGGGAGGGGCTCTTCCGAAGTCTAGGAACCCATTCGGAGGGCTGCACACTCATTGCCCTGATCAAGGTCTCACAGAGGGGAAGGAATCAAGGAAGCTAAACACCCCTCCCTAGAAATGAAGGTGGCTGTGGAAAGTGGCATTTGTGTGGACAAAGCAAGTTGGGAATTAGGGAAGGAAGGAAAAGAGGAGGGATATCAGGGCAAATCAGTGGAGGGGAAAGAGCTCCTGTTAAATTCCTCTTTAATTTCCTTGGGACAAAGGTCTCCATATTCCACACCACTGCCTCCCGAAGGGACTGTCCCCAGAGAAATGGATCAGCACAAACTTCCTCCATAGCCCCAGAGTCTGATGTACATAGGGAATTGGGTTCTAGAGACAGAGGAAGACACGGGGTTCCAAAAATAGTTCCAAACTCCCCTTCTACAGCCTCATCTCCTGCCTAGCAGCAGGGCAAATGGGTACATCATATCAGATTAATAAAGGGATGGGGAGGGGCCAGGAGACTGTGAGAAGCAGGATCGAAGCCACAGAGACAAGAGGCAGAAAGAGATGAATTGGTTACCATTTGCTTTCCTTCTCTGCTCCTATCTACCAGGCTCTGTACGTCCCTAGGTGACACACAGTCCATGCCCCCAGCTTCTACCTCCAACCTCCAACCTGTGTAGCATACACTTCCCAGCCTTCTGTATGATACTCAACACACTCCCCTAGCCCTCTCCCCCACTCCACCAACCCCCTATGTGACATTAAACACACTCCCTCAGATCTCTCCTCTACTCCTCAAGCCCTGGGTGCACTGACATTCTCCAATCCTGTCTCACACTTACTCAGTCCCTGAGAGAAACACTGAACACACACCCAGCCCGGTTCCTGACTTCTCCAGCCCTGTGACACTGAACACACGCTCACAGTCCTTTTTTCCCTTCCCCCATTCTCCGTGTATAACACTAAACACACTCCCTGATCCTGTCCTCAACTTTCCCAGTCTCTCAGAGCTCCAGTCCTCTCCCCCGACTCCTCTAGCCTTTAGGTATAGCACTGAACACACTCTCAGTGCGTTCCTTCCGTCATCCCCAGCTGTGTGTAACACTAAACACACTTCAAGATCCTGTCTTCAACCTTTCCAGCTCCTTAGTGTGCCTTTAAATACATTCCCCTCCCCAACCCCTCTGCTTGACTAACCTCAGGTATAACACTGAACATACTCTCCAGGTCTTTTTCCTCCCTCAATCCGGGGTGCAACAGTAACACACTCCCCCAGTCTTGTCCTGGCTTTCTGATAGTCCACTGATTTGGGTCCCAGGGCAAATACCTCCCTTTGACCTCAGTGTTCCTATCTATGCAACTGAGTTGCAATCTGACATCAAGTTTCCACACACAGTTAAAAATTCAAAAACTGTACTATGCTTTGGGGGTAAAAAAAAAAAAAAAAAAGATTACATTTTTGGTAGGGAATATCAGGGGATTTTTCTTGCTTTTTTTTTTTTTTTTTAAATGAAACAGGAAGTGTCAAGCATTGCCTCAAGGCTTTGAGTTTTCAAAGGAGAATTTTTCACTCCAGATAACCATAGCAGTCCATAGCAGTCCCTGACAGAAGTCGGGGGGGGGGGGGGGGGGGGGGGGGGGGGAGGGGTGAGGGGTGGGGGGTGGCGGTTCCTTTCACATTAAGGCTGGGAGAAAGGGGTAGGAATCAGACACAAAGAGCTGAAGTACGGATGATAGAGTCCCCCTTCCCCCAAGTAGCCTCGCTTTTTAACTCTGTGGGTTAGAAGTTTATAGGAATTCTGGATCCATGGTTTCCTACGGTCGCTTTTACAGATCTTGTTAATTTATTACCCATGGTTACACTTTTAATGGAAATCATGAAGAAATGGCAAAGGAAACATGAGCTAATTTTTTTTCCAGTGACACATTTCACTGCTATTTAAATAGCTGTTTTGCCAAACCAAACACAGCGCTTACAGCCAGCGGTGACACATGAAGGAGATCACTGTAGCCAATCCAGCCTGCGGCAACCAGAACAGGCCAGACTTTCTCTCAGCTTCCCCAGGGGCTGGATGCCAAGGCAGTGGGGAGGACAGGGCTGGAGTGTAGGCACAGCTGGAGCCCGAGCCGGGAGACCGCAGCTCCCATCCTCCCCAGGCAAGACTACTTCTCTGGTGTCCACTACTGCCTGCCTGCTGAGGGGTTCTGGGTGAGTTTTACCCTTCTGTTTGGACCCCTCCCCATGCCCTCCCCCAGTAGGCCTTACCCAGGGCCACTAGCAAAGGGCTTCCTGGCTGGCACTGCGGGATGATTTGCTCACGCCTGTAACTGGGAACATTACTGGCTTGTGTAAAACCAGAGATAGATTTTTGGGAAACTTTGGTCAGCTTCTTTCCAGTTCTGTGGCGACAGTGACAGCATAACTGTGACCAAGCTGGCACAGGGTGTTTTTGTTGAACAAATCCTAGAGCTCTGACTTTTTTCTTCTTCTTCTTCTTCTCAGAAATTCCCTGGAGCCAACTGATGCCCTCTTGATCCCCCAGCTCAGGGAGGCTGTGATGTCATCAACTATTTTATTAACTTCTCCAGAAGCCTGTTAAGAGTACGGTACTTGGTAAGAGAGACCCCAGGGCTAAGGATGCTGGGAAGAAGAAACTGGCCAAAGATCCTCCGATCATGGCCTGTAAGGGAAGCAGTGGGCAGGAGAAAACCTCCCTGGGATGCAAAAAATGCAGTGGGATTAAGGAAAACCAAGCCCTTGGCAGCAGACATCGGGGCTCTGGAGCAATTTGTCCAACTTCAGAGCCATTGTGAGAACTCAGTGGCACCCACATCCTCCACGAGTGCCCAGCAGGGAGGGGGCTCCAAAGACAGGGCAGGGAATGGGGGCAGAAATTCTTGGAGGAAGGAGCTTATGGGAAAGAACGAGGAACTGTTAGAGTGACAGACATAACACATAGCAGATAACATGGCACTTCTTGTTCCCATAGTACCTCAGGTGCTCAAATGTTTCTCTTTCCCACAATGCTGTGAGTTCCAGCTTAAACACTCCTCCTTCCCATAATGCCTTGTGTGCTCAGTCACCCAATGAAAATTGCCCAGCAGTGAATGCACAAGCCATCAAGCAATCAGCGCAAAGTCCCCCGGAGATATGGGAGAAGCCCCATACTATAAAAACCACCCTCCAAGAGGATAACATTGCTCTCCTCTTTGGGGCCCCCTCTCTTCAGACAGTCTCCCTACTTTAGTGGCTTTCCTTTCACTTTCAAATAAGATTGCTCTGTCTGCCTTAAATACTTCTCTGCCTGTTAATGAAAATGAGTCTGTCCCTCTAGACAGCATCAAGTTCAAGCTGGAAGGAACACTGATAATTTCTGCCCTCTACCCAGACACTGCTAGATCCTCATTCCAAATCTAGATTCTTCTCTGATATTCCTTCCGTGTGATGTCCTGTGACCCCCCCCCCAAGAATGTTAAGGTGGGCAGAGCAAAAGGGCCTTGACAAAATTAGGGTGGCAGGCTTACTGGCACCCAGAGAGAAACCACCCTGCCTTAACTTTCCAGGGACAAAACCCACTTTAGCGAGGAGAGAAGTTAACTGTCATCCTCCCTTGCCAAAAAGTATATTAAATTCACTGACCACATTTTTCCAAACCCAAATGCAGAGGACATTAGATCAATGCATGTTGGCTGGGCTCTGGTGTGCTGGGCACCCCACACATTTCATTTTGCATTATTAATATTTAAACCAAAGCAGCTGTTCTCTGCACATACCAAGCCAAGGGCCTGCCCAAGGCTCGGGTGATGACTTTTCTCCGAGGCCAGATGTGTCAGCTAGTAAGCTCTTGTTGACCCTCCAGCCTCTGGCCTCCTGGAGAGAATTTTCCCAGTAGCCATTCATTGATCAAGGATGACATTTCTGGGCTATTTCTGGCAAGGAGACATGGTGATAGATTCTTTTACTTTTACTTTTTCTTTTTTTGTCAGTTGTGGGGCTTGAACTCTAGGCCTGGGCACTGTCCCTGTGCTCTTCAGCTCAAGGCTAGAGCACTGCCACTTGAGCTACATAGCCCTTTCTGGTTTTCTGGAGTTTAATTGGAGATAAGAGTCTTACAGAATTTCCTTCCCAGGCTGGGTTTGAACCACGAGCCTCCTGACTAGCTAGGATTACAGGTGTGAGCCACCAGCGCCCGGCAAGATTCTGAAGATCTGGTTTAGCAGAAATTCCTTGGGGGAGTATGTGGGTGAAAGTACCTCTTTGAAATACCCAATACCCTCTGAGCACTTTACTCCAGGTCAGGGACCCTAATCTCTTTCAAAACCAGAGTGATGTGCATGCCAGTGGCTCCTATCTATAATCCTAGTTACTCAGGAGGCTGAGCTTTGAGGATCACAGTTTAAAGCCAGGCAAGCAGGAAAGTCCACGAGATTCTTATCCACAATCAATAACCAAAACATGAAAGTGGAGCTATAATAAGGTAGAGTGCCAGCCTTAAGCAAAAAAAGCTCAAGGACTGTGCCTACGCCCGGCATTTAATTCCCAGTATCGGTACATATACACAACACACACACACACACACACACACACAAGGAAAAAACACAGAATGACTCTCAAAGCATTTACATGTTAGAGACTGAGGTTCTCAAAGGCATTTGAAAAGTTCTAAGTTCAAACTTCGCCGGGGTTCTGGTGGCTCACGCCTGTAATCCTAGCTACTCAGGAGGCTGAGATCTGAGGATCACCGTTCAAAGCCAGCCTGGGCAGGAAATTCTGTGAGATTCTTATCTCCAGTTAACCACAGGAAACCGGAAGTGGCCATGTCGCTCAAGTGGTAGTGCTCTAGCCTTGAGTTGAATAGCACAAGGATAGCACCCAGGCCCAGAGTTCAAGCCCCATAACTGACCAAAATCAATCAATCAAACAAACAAACAAACAAAACCAAAGTTCAAACTTGATTTCTAAGGCTGGCTGCAAGACTCTTGCTGAAATCTCAGAGGAGCAACTTGATATAAAAAGCCCTTTTGCAACCAGTGCAATTCTTCAACCTCTGCCTGGCTTCCTCGCAACCCTGTGCCAAGGCTACCCAGACACACCCATCTCTACAGACTCTCTGCTATCACAATTTACCTTTGCTGTCCCAGGACAAGGTATCTCCTCACTACCCCACCCCCATCCCGTAGGATGAATTGACTTGTCTCTGCCCCTCTTGATTTGGGGATGCATCCTATTTTGTGTACCTTTATTTCTATACTTATAAAGGCCAACATGTATTGAGCACTGTCTATGTATCTGACTTTAACGAGAGTATCTTGCTCAATTCTCACTGCAACCCTCCAAAGCAAGTACTATAATTATCTCATTTACAGAAGCAACATTAAGACCTACAGATGGTGAGTAGTTTGCCCAATGCTGTCATTATAGGTGCTCACTACACATCTGTTAAAGTGAAAAAATAAAATGAAGTAAGCAGAAGGATCTTCCCAGGTAAGGACCTACTGAGCTAGCCTAACATCATCCTTTGCTTTAGGCTACTGCCCCAGTCCTAGATCTGAGAAAGAGGAGAGTAGTGATCTAAACCTAGACTCGAACTTCAATTCCATCTGAATTTAAATTGGCTACACTTGTTTTCCTACTGGCAAACTGGGGACAATAATAATACCAACTGAGCAACAGAACCCTAGTATGCAAGGGTATACAACCTTGGACCCACCACGAAATGGGAATAATCATACCTAATCTAAAAAGCTCTTTTGAGCCTTGAAGCAGATCATAAAGGTTAAGTGCCTATCATAGGGTCTGAGTATTTATTGAACACCAATAAGACCTGTAGAGTCAAAGAGAAGCAAAGCTCACTATGGCAGGGATGGGGGAAGCAGCCACTCTTAATCCTGAATGCCACATCTATGTATTGCCTCCAGAGGTTCTGAATTGCCAGCTCCCACTGTGGGAAGAAAGGCAGAATAGCCAGGAGAGGGAAAAGAGGGAGAAAGGTTCATGTCACCTTGCACTGTCTGTCCTTGGGGTCCAGCCAGTCTCAGAGACTGTCCTTCAACCTGCCACTCCAAAAGAAAAACCAGAGCGGGCAACCAGGGAATAGAGCTGTTTGTTCCTGTCAATGGCCCTGGAGCTCACTATGTCTCCATAGGAGGCTTGGGTGGATGCTTGTAGAAGAGGCTCTGAGCTGTGGCCTACAAGGATTTCTCTTCCATCTTCTCATCCTGTCATTGGCTTTGACTTCCAGCACCTCCAAGTGCCTCTTTTCTGAGCTAGGGCTGGGGTTTGAGTAGAGGAACAGTATTCTCAACTTTCTTTTTTTTTTATTGTGAAAATACTGTACAGAGGGGCTACAATTACATGGGCAAGATAATGGGTACATTTCTTATCAAGCATTGTAGCCTCCTCCTTTGTTTCCCATCCCATCCTTCCCCCCCCCCCCCAACTTTCTTGTAGAAGACTTGCTACTCTTACTCTTGTCCCAAATAGATTTCTGATCCTCTGGGGTCCTCGGAAGGCTTCAGCCTGCCTCTCAAAGTTCCTGTGTTTAAAATAGCCCCTTTCCCTGCAACCTTAGGAATGACTGTGAAAAAAATAAACATCCTCAAATCTTGCCTGTGGCTTTATTTTGAGACTTCTAGCAGTCTGAAACAATCCTTCTCCCTTCCCCTTTCCTCTCCTGGCAGCTCCAGTATCCTCCAATTCAGTCCTGCCCAGGCCAGATCGGGGAAGTGGGGAAGTTATGGTCCATGCAAGAGTCATACCCTGAACTTTATGGGGTTTGTAGCAACCAGGTGCAGAACAGTGTCCCGCCCACTCTCAACAAGAGCCAGAGAACAGACATGGGCAAGGAGGATGTGGTAGGGGCCTGAAGACAAAAGAAGAGCGATAAGATAAAGGAGAGTAATTGTGGAAAGAGAAAGGGCAGCTACAGGTAAGGCAATATACAGTATGGTCACATCATGACCAGTAAGTATAATTTCCATGGGTTGACAGCAGTGGCTGACGGTGGGAGTTGATTTTTTTTTTTTAGGGAGATGGGTTGCATTTGAACAGAGCACATGGCTCCTTTCCAGGGGCCAGAGGTCACAATTACCAGAGGATTCATGGCCAAGATCTTCCTTTTGGGAAACCCACTTCTGCCTTTCTCCACCCCCAGACCTTCTGCTCCAGGGAGGAGCCCCCTGGCAGCTAGAGCCAAACACTCCAGGAGCAGGAAGCCCCAACATTTATCTTTGGGTTATTTTCACTCCCAAGAACAAAGGCGCTTTCTATTCGGCAAGTGGCAAGAACCCACACCTCTGACAAGCCATACATCACCCTCAGGGAGAAGAGGCAGGAGGGGCTGGTCCAGCATGGGGGCCTGCTTCTTTCTCTCACCAAGAACCCCAAAGGGTGTGTCTGGCTCATGGCTTGCAGTAGAGTCCAGGCAAAAGCAGAAATTGGGTAGGACAAATTGATTCTTTGGGTAGGACAAATTGATTCTAAGAGCTGGCACCAAGAAGAAGCAGGAAATTGAGGAGTGGAAGATGACTACTTCTTCATAAAGTCAAGTGTCAAACCTCAGGGAGAACTCCTTCCCTGCTGGGGGTCTCTTCACATAAAATATATGATGATTGGATCACCTGAGGAGCTTTAAAGAAAAGTATACATAAAGGTCAATAGTGAAGGGAAAATACATGTTCAATTCATCACTGCCAGTGACAGACACCGTAGTTGAATTTGTTTCCTTCAACAAATTTATTTAAATGCACTAGCATGGATAGATAAATATACACATAATGACAAGCATGCCTATGTATAAACTATATCTATTTTTACACATTTATCAAGGCAAACACACTGTTCTGCAATATGATTTTTTGGTATAGCATTACCTCCTTGTATTGACTTCTTAACATTCTATTATATGCTATTGGTATAGCTAATATTATATTATATGGCTTCTGATAATTTCCCAGCTTTTTCTATTACAAATGCTGCCTTAGCAAATATCCATGTGACATACTCTTTTGTGCACACCTGAGAATTTTAGTAGGGTCATTCTTACAGGAAGGATTTCAAGGCAGATTAAAGGGCATATGCATAGTTCTTCTGCTGGTTTGTTTTCTCTGCTGGATATTGCTAAATTGTTCTTTGTCTAATTCACATTTATTTACATAGATACCACAATATATGACAGTACCATACTTTCTCTACATCATAATACAATGCATAATTTATATAACTTTTATCTACATTAACTCAATAGATGAGAAAAACAGCATTTCACTGTGTTTATAACTTGTATGCACTTGTATATGAATAAAGTTAAGAAACATTTGGTGCATTGAGAAGCCATGTATACTTAAGGTAGCTTTTAAAATACATACACTCTTAGATTACAAAGTAAAAAAGATCTGCCTCAATAGACCTTAAAATTAGTACTTTCATTAGGGTAGCTAATATTTCTTAACAACCTATAAAAGGAAGACTTGATCAAAGGTATTTCAACTAAAAATTTTAAATGTTCATCAGGGTGCTAGTGGCTCACATCTGTAATAATAACTGCTCAGTGGACTGAGATCTGAGGGTTGTAGTTCAAAACAGCCAGGGCAACCAAGTGGGTGAGACGTTTATCTCCATCTAACCACCAAAAGCCAAAAGTAGAGCTGTGGTAGAAGGTTAGCCTTGAGCACAAAAGCTCAGGGACAGCACCCATGTCCTGAATTCAAGCCCCAGGACCAGCACAAAAGATAACAGATTTTTTAATGTTCATTAAAAGTCAAAAACCAAAACCAGTGGCTTAGTGAGTGGTAGAGTCCTAGCTTTGCATGTATGAGGCCCTGGGTTCAATTCCTTGGTACCACATAAACAAAGGATAAAATAAAACTAGTTAACAAATAAAAAGACAATGCCAGGAGCCAGTGGATCATACCTTAAATTCTAGGAAAGTCTATGAGACTCTTATCTTCAATCAACCTCCAGAAAACAGGAAGTAGAGTTGTGGCTCAAGTAGTAGCGCACTAGCCTTAAGCAATGAAGCTTAGGGACAGCATTCAGGCCCTGAGTTCAAGTCTCAGAACCAGCACACATGCATGCACACACGTGCACACATATATACACACACAAGTGAAACATAAACAACAGACTGAGAGAAGATATATAGTTATGAATATAAAGAACTTACAAGCAGCATATACAAAAAACTTCTATAAATCAACAACAATTTTTAAAACTATCAACAACAGCCTAATTCTAAAGGGGTAAATCCAAAACATAGAGGGCTCATAAATAAAAATAAACAAATGATCAATACACATATAAGCAGATGTTTGTAACTCCTCAAGGAAAGGCAAATTAAAAACACAATAGGAGGGCTGGAAGGTGGCTCAGTGGTAGAGTGCTTGCCTTGCAGGCATGAGGCCCTGGGTTTGATTCTTCAGCACCACATAAGCAGAAAAAGCAGAAAGTGGAGCTATGGCTCAACTGGTAGAGCACTAGCCATGAGCTGAAGAGCTAAGGGACAGTGCCCAGGCCCAGAGTTCAGGCCCATGACTGGCAAAAAAAAAACAACCAAAAACACAACAAGAGCTACTAGTAAACACTAGTAGATATTCAACAAACAGCTGGAGGAGGAAAGGGCAGAGAAGGACCCTAATTTGTAATAGTTATAAGAAACCTTTCACTGGCTGATTTCAAGTCACCAATAAAACAACACTGAATACACAATTAGAAAGGCTCCAGTACATCATTGAGACCAACATGAAGGTTAAAATAAAAGACAGACCATGCCAAGAACTGGCAAGAGTGTAGAGTTCTAGCACATTGCTAATGGTAGTACTAATCAGTACGATCAGAGTAGGAAACTGGCAGTTTCTACTAAGGCTCAAATGTATACCGATCCCATGACAGTATAGGCCCCACAGAAATGACCGCATGTGTGATGGTGATGTCTCACTCCATGTATTAAGTTGGTTGGATCACAGGGGTTCACAGACATTTGATCAAGCATCATTCATGTCTGTGGATGCTGCTCTTTTACATTTACTGTGCTGTGCACTGCTTTATAATGTAGAATTGTGTTTTCTACAAGAAGTTAAGCTTCTGAGGGCATGGCTACCCTTTTGTCAGACAGAGGAAGGAGACAGAACAGCCTCTAAAAGAACACCTATGAAAGATGGAAATATCTTGAATACCCATAAAAGATGGAAATGCCTGACAATCCCTCAGGGGATTGGTTCTAAGAGGCCCCCTACACACACACACACACACATACACACATACACACACACACCAAAATCTGGGGACATTCAAGTCATATATATATGTACACACACACACACACACACACACACACATATGGCAAGTGACAAGAGCCCACACCTCTGACAAGCCATAGATCACCCTCAGGGAGAACAAGAAGGGCTGGTCTAGCACATGGGCCTGCTTCTTTCTCCCACCAAGTACCCCCAGAGGGTGTGTCTAGCTCATGGCTTGTGGTAGGGTCCAGGAAGAAAACAGAAATTGTGTGGAACAAATTGATTCTAAGAGCACTAGCCTTAAACCTTAATCCTCAAGGACAGCATCCAGGCCCTGAGTTCAAGCCACAGAACCAGCGCACATATATACACGCATATGCACACAAACAATACACACACACATGAAAACACAAACGAAAGACTGAAAGAAGATATGTGTGTGTGTATATATATGCATATATATATAAAGTGGTACAGTATTTGCACACCCTCAAGTATACTTTAACCTCTAGTTAACTCATAATACCTAGGATAATATAATGTAAATGTTATCTAAATTGTCATTATACCATATTGTTTAAGGGATGATAAGAAAAAAAATGTGTATAGGTTCAGGACAGATATGAGTTTTTCACAGAAGCACATCCTTCAGATACAAAGGGGCAAACATAGTTATTTAGAACAAGAAAATAATTCATAGTAAACATCAACAAAACTCAAACTGCCTGATCCATATTGATAATATTTTCAGGGAGATACTTATTTCTTTAACTGTGGACTGCTTTGTGGATTCTTCTTATATCAGAGGTGTTGTGGAATAGTTTTCTATGAAGACTATACAAAAATAACTCAGTCTTTCCTCTATTAGCATTGGTCAGATTTTTTTTTATTACTGACCACTCAAAAAATTCTCTTTTTACCTGGCGCCAGTGGCTTACTCCTGTAATCCTAGCTACTCAGGAGGTTGAGATCTGAAGATCATGGTTCAAAGCCAGTCCAGGCAGGAAAGTCCATGAGATTCTTATCTCCAATAAAACCGGAAGTGGTGCTATGACTCAAGTAGTAGAGTACTCGCCTTGAGCTGAAGAGCTGAGGGACAGCGCCCAGGCCCAGAGTTCAAGTCCCACGACTGACAAAAAAAAAAAATTCTCTTTTTGCTTCACAACTTGATATTGATAATGGCATGTGTTGTTTTTTTTTTTTAGAATTGTCTTTATATTTGGGGAAAACACCAATAAAGTCCTTTTATGGATGAACTAATTTCAGGACATACTACATAATCTTGTGCAATGGCTCAACTTAAATATACAAATTGACAATATTCATTAACTGCTTTGGGGTTCTTTTTGTGTCATTTATTAGAACTGTTGCAGTATTTCGCTGATGTATTTCATGGCCAATGATCTAGAAATCTAACATGGCTCATGTGATTTCGTGATAAGTTGAGAATTATAAACACATGACTTTATAGACAGGCATTCTAGCTATGTGAAGTATTGTCAGTCTATATACTATACAAACGGAGGAATTCTGATTAAATCATATTTCAATAAAAAAAGAAATACATATAATTGAATATTTTCCTGGCAGAAAAGAGTTCCTATTTTGACTTGGCATTGATAAGAACTAAATTCTTGCTTATAGTTTTATATCTCTAACAACAATAACAAAAAAATCCTAGACTACATCAAGTTGATATGTTTCTTGCCCAAGCTGGCTTTGAACTATGACCCTCAGATCTCAGCCTCCAGAGTAGCTTGGATTATAGGCTTGAGCCACCAGAGCCTGGCTGACTCCAGAACTTTGAGTAGTTTTAAGCTACCCGGTCTGAGGTAACTTGTTATAGTAGCCCTAGGGAAGAAACATACCATACATTCCAAATTGTGTTTCTCCCCTGCTACTCAACTACTGGGTAAATAGGATTTCAAAAGAACACCTCACAATTTGAAATACCCTCAAACCATGCACCTTACCTAGCCAGGTTGTACAGAGATGGTCCCAGAAGACCTTCCCAATACACAGGGCCAGCAACAGCCTAACTACACAGGAAAATGACTGTAAGCCACTTGCTTATATCTGACTAAACCCTGACAAGGCATCCTAGCTGGAGCCCTGCAAATCCTCATGCCCTTCAAGGCATTCAACACAGCAGAAATGTGAAGGCAAAGAAATTAGAGTGGAAGAAAAGACAGACATCGGTGCTGGGAAGGTGGCTCGGTGGTAGAGCGCTTGCCTTGCATGCATGAGGCCCTGGGTTCCACCCTTAGCACCACATAAGCAAAAAGAAAAAAAGCCGGAAGTGGCGCTGTAGCTCAAGTGGTAGAGCGCTAGCCTTGAGCTGAAGAGCTGAGGGAGAGCGCCCAGGCCTACAGTTCAGGCCCCACGACCGGACCCCCCAAAAAAAGAAAAGACAGACATCTTTGCTATGATGACAAGACCTGACTTCTTCAACATTAACAAAACATATCACCCCAAGGAAGAAGTGGTGGGGAGAAGTCCTGGGGAGAAATTACACAAGTGGGAAGCTCTGAGCTTTGAATTCCTTGGCTCCTGGTAATCATCTTTGGGTTGTTTTCCAACAAAGATGACCATGACTTTTTCCTGTGATCTAAAAATCCATGATCAGCCAAAATGTGTAGCAGTGGGTGATGCCAAACTATAGGACTAGTTCTAGGAATGCAAGAGCACACACAAGAAGGGTTGTGACAAGAAAAAAATAATAATTCTAAGAGAACACAAAGGGTCCCTTTAATGACACTTAGCCTAGGAAGGAGGCAAGTGTAGACCCACTGCTGACCCTGTCTGGGGTAGGAATGACGTCAATAAGCTGGAAGAAAGGTGAGTATGTCAAATTGAATTCTGTTCCCATAGTCTAGGCAAGACTTTCACATAGAATGAATGAATATGTTCAAGTTGATTTAGAAGCAAGAATTATGTGAAGAGTTTCTTTCACTAAACAGGACATAACAGGCCCTCAGAGGAACAACATGGATCAACAACTTCAAAACTCAGAAAGGCGGGAGAGACGCTGGGATTGTGTAGCTGAGCAGATAGTCAGGACATTTTCAAGCAAAAGAGACAGTGATAATTGTAGACTCTCTGAGACAGATTTTTGAGCGTTTGTGTGTGTAAATTTTTGAGACAAGTTTCCATGGGATTTTCAGGATCCCACAGAGTTTTATGACTTTAGCACAGGTTAAAACTACTTATGAGCCAGGCACTGGTGGCTCACGCCTGTAATCCTAGCTACTCAGGAGGCTGAGATCCTAGGATTACGGTTCAAAGCCAGCCTGGGCAGGAAAGTCTGTGAAACTCTTATCTCCAATAAACCACTCAGAAAACCAGAAGCGGCTTTGTGTGGCTCCAGTGGTAGAGAGCTAGCCTTGAGCTGAAGAGCTGAGGGACAGCGCCCAGGCCCAGAGTTCAGGCCCCATGACCAACAACAACAAAAAAAACCCTACTTATGTTCTTCTGATCTAATTTCACAGATGGTGAAACCGAGGACAGAAAAGGAAAAGACCTGCTCAAAGTCACAGCACAAGGAGAGGAAGAGTGAGGACCAGCACAAAGATCTCCAGCACTTCCCAGACCAAGATCTGTTCTTGCCTCTACTCTCGCTGCCTCTCACACACCACCATTCTTTCTGTTTGTTTGGTTTGGTGTGGGGTTTGGGGTCTTTTTATTTTATTTTATTTTATTTTGCAGGGAGGTAGTCCTGGAGCTTGAACTCTAGGCCTGGGCTTTGTCTCTGAGCTTCTTTGTTGTTGTTGTTTTGTCAGTTGTGGGGTTTGAACTCAGTCCTGGGCACTATCCCTCAGCTCTTCAGCTCAAAGCAGCACTCTACTGCTTGAGCCACAGCACCACTTCTGACTTTCTCTGTTTATGTGGTGCTGAGGAATCGAACCCAGAGCCGCATGCATGCAAGGCAAGTACTCTACCACTGAGCCACCATCCCAGCCCCTCTCTGAGCTTCTGCTAAAGGCTAGCACTCTACCACTTAAGCCACAAAGCCACTTCTGGCCTTTTTTTTTTTTTTTGAGTAGTTTATTGGAAATAAGAGTCCCAGGGATTTTCCTGCCTGGGCTGGCTTTGAACTACAATCCTCAGATCTCAGCCTCCTGAGTAGCTAGGATTACAGATGTGAGCCACCAGCACTGACCACACCACCATTCTTTTGCTTTTCCCAAAATGCTTTTCTCTCTCTCTATCAGCAAGTATTAAGGTTGCCTGGAGCTCTACTATGGGGGCAGTGAGTGACTCATGCACCCTTTGTATACAACTGTCTGATTCGTAAGAAAGGACAGCTAAGCATAATCCTCAAGCTCAAAGGAAGCCCCTTTGATCTAGAAACTCCCAGACAGTCCTTGTAAGGAGCAGAGTCTGGATGTGTGAGAAAAAAATCATGGGGGTCACTTTAAGAATCATCTGGGAATCTTAGAAATATCAGGAGCAGTGGATTCACCAAGACTTTTCTGTGCTGTCAAGTTCATTTCACTTTCTTCACAGATTCCTTATACTGCTGGATTAGGGGGAGGTAACGGAAGTGGTTCATCTGACTTCTTCCAAGCTCTTGATGCAATGGGAAAGGAGAAATGTACAATGGTTTGGGCTTTTTTTATTCACAGATACTTCAGGGTTTGCTCCTGTCTTGCTCTAGTCAACCTGTCTGTCAATGATAAGAATATCCATAACACACTTACCAAATTTGTATATAAAGTCAACCTGGAATCATTGGCCCTTCAATAAATCAACTCCTAAAGGAAGAAACCAAGGGAGGATGAAAGACATTTCTCCCTGAAAAAAAAAAAAAAGCTCAGTTACAGACAAGATGGAATTATGAACCGCTGTGGCTTTCTCCTATATGACAGAGATATGAGTGGAGTGGAGGAAGTGTCCTCAGACACACTGGGATTGTCCTGGGAGAGGCCACTGCTGAGAAGTCTTGAGAACAAGGTAGCAGTTAGCCAAGCAAACCTGGGGGAAGGGGAGGAATGGCAGTCCACTAGAGGGAAGAGCCAGGCAGGTGCAGGTGGGCTCAGGCCTGCTCAGGAAGCTGAGGTGGCTCTGAGAGCAGGAAGGCGTAAGTCCAGGAACAAGATCTTTGGTAGAGTTATGCTGAGCTGATCCTGGAGGAACTCACATTACTTAACAATGTGGAATCCTTAAACTTTAAAAGAGGCCTTCAAGGAGCTCCATGGAGCCAGGGATATGGGTGCAGAGGTCAAACAATGTAGGATGGAGAGTTATGTGCTTTTGTTGGCCCCTCTGCCCCGTGGAGCCCAGACTCATCCCTTCCCTCTACTCCAGTCACATGGGTCTAAAGACAATCAAGCAACATCCAGACTTAGGGCTTTCATTTACCCTGGCCTTTTCCCAGGCCAGACTGCTCTCACACCCTTCCTCTATCCTGTATCTGATTAAATCCCTAAGTCCCAGTTCAAATATTACTTCCTTGGAGAAACCTACTCTGACTACTCTTAATGTTTCTATAGCATTTTGCTCTACTTGGACACCATGGATGGTAATATGTAATCTTTTAAAGGGTGTACTTATTTAATGCCACATTATCCACTGTATAGCAAGTCCTGAGAGCCAAGCTGAATGTATTTTGCTCATGACTATACCCCTTGTGATTATTAGCAAGCATTTTTATTATTTGCTTGTGGCTCACACCTGTAATTCTAGCTGCTCAGGAGATCTGGGGATCACAGTTCAAAACCAGCCCAAGAAGAAAATTCCATGTGTCATATCCCCAATTAACCACCAAAAAAAAAAAAAACAGAAGTGGAGCTGTGGTATAAGTAGTCGAACACCAACCTTGAGCTTAAAAGCTAACAGATAGCACTCTGGCCCTGAGTTCAAGCCCTAATACCAGCGTGTGCACATGTGCGTATGTGTGTGTGCGTGTGTGTGCTTAAAATCAAACAGAAAAAAGTGTCAATTACCTACCATTACGTAGCAAACAATTTCAATATCTACTAGCTTAAAAACATCAACTACTTTATTCCTCACAACACCTCAGCAAGGCAAGCTAATAACTGGGGAGGGTATCAGCAAGATGATTCATCTCTTCCACATGGCATCTACAGAGGTCATTTAATGTTGTCAGCTGGCAGATGGTCTAGTTTGGAGAGTCTGAGCTGTCTGTGTCCATGTTTCTAGTGTTTTGACGGTTGGGAGGCTGAACCCAGACCTAATGACCCAAGGGGTATGGCTAGCATTAGAGTTCCTGCATGGGAGTATTCCACAGAGCTAGGTGGATGCCTCAAGGTAATTTACAACCCACTTCAAAAGTTCCAGACATTGACTCCTACTACATGCTAATAGCCAAGTAAGTCACTAAGAGCAGCCCAGATGGGGTTAGGGATCTCAACCCCTCTACCCTAGTGGAAAGAACATCAAAGAATTTGCAGGCATCTCTAAGTTACCACAGTGGAGATATTTATCTTTTCCTAATGACCAACCTGACTTCAGTGTCCAGGAAAGATGAAGAAGAATAGATCACACGCACATGAGAGATCGATTCAGAACTTACTAGAAAAAAATATGTGTTTAAATCATAACAAGTGGAAGGGGGAGAAAAGCACAAATGTGTTGGTCCAACCTTATCTATGGCTTCATTTTCCATTGGGGTCCAAATATAGTCAATGGAAAGTTCCAGAAATAAACAGCCCTTAAATTTGAAGCAACTTTTTACTGTAGTATAGTATTATAATTATTCTATTTTATTTCTATTGTTTATAATTTCTTACTGTGCACAATTTATAAATTAAACTTTATCATAAATATATATATATATAAATGGTACCATCCATTATTTCATGCATCCACCGGTCTTGGAACACATTCCTCACAGATAGCAGGAACTACTGCAAATAGTGAGACCCTGGTACTTACTTTACAGGGCTGTTGAGAGGTTAAGTGACTTCATCAGAGGAACTTAGGCCTCGGACAATGGGAGTGAGGATGGTTGAAGTAAACACAGCCCTTAAAGGAGTTTCCCCAGACACAAGCTCCCAGGAGTCCAGCTAATCACATGATCCAGCCCTACTACTGACACCAAGGGCAACTACTCAGAAACCCTAGGCCCTTGTGGACCTCTAGTCCAGCCTAAGATGCATTACCTTCCCCTTCCCCACACCAGTCTAAATCCAAGTCCAGTCCTACTGCCCAATGCTAATACTAAATAAAATAAAAGAGCTCAAACATCAAGTTCACCTCTAATAAATCCTACTCTGCTCTCAGCCCTCACTTTAACTACAATTTTATCCTCCCTTAGGTCCAAGGAAATATGCAAAGGCATGGCCTTTGGGAAGAGAATCCTGTCTACCCTACAATCTAGTGGCCTTGACTGATAGCTGTCTTCAAATTGTAGTCTAAATTATGGCTTGATCCTTGGGCTGAAAAACTCATAGGGATTTTTTTTTTGTACACAGAAACCTAGTTGAAAAGTACCAGTCCTTGGAAGTCCATAGCTTGAGAAATAATGTGCATTTTAGTTATTTCTTTCATGAATAGTGGACAGGGACAGAAATCCTTAGGAAACTCTTCTCCCCCAACTCCCAATCTGCAGGATTTTTAATTTGTAAAGGAAGAATGATTGTCACTTTTTAGAAAGATGGGGGAAGGGGATGTTATGTCCCAGATAGAAGATTCAAAAATTAAAGAGTCCACAGAATGTTTTAGTCCAGAGCCTAGAAGGCAGGTTCTAGGTGCCTGGCCTGTGGCGCACAGGGTAGAAGTCCGAAGGGCTGTGGGTAAGTGGGGCCTCCCCAGCCTGACTCAGAGCATGAGGCCAGAAGCAAAGTCCCAGAGTGCTCTGGTGGTATAGGTGAGGTCAGTCTGGAAATATGACTCCAAACCCAGCTGTCAATCAAAGGAAACAAGACAAACAAAAGAGACGGAGATGCAGAGCCTGCAGGCAGAGTGGGGGACAGGAACAGAGCAGGCCAAAGGAAAAACAGCCCCTTAAAACAGAAAAAAAAAATGGAGGAGGCAAGCGGTCTGAATTAATCCCAGGGTCAGATGCCTGTACCTTAAGCAGTTTTATAATCTCATAGCCAAGTTTACCTTTTTGAATGATCTTTTTCCCCCCTCAAATTCAATAAAACATGGAAGAAAAAATTAAAGTTCCAAAAGTTTATAGAAACACATTAAAATGAACTATGACCCTTGACATGATTCATGGTATCTCAAAGGGGTAGGACTTAATAATTTCAAGAATGTATCCCTTTACCCTCTAGGTTCAGTTACCAACATCGAATAGAAAAAGAAAAGGAAAGGAAAGGAAAGAAAAGACTCCTGTTCCCCTTCTTTGTCTGTGAGGATAGAGCTTCCCAAAAAGAAGCCAAGGTCACGGCTGATGCTGACAGCCCAGTCTGCTTCCCACGCCCTAGGGGACAGCAGAGGGCTCTTGGTCTAGCCTGAGCCTGGTGTTGGTTACATCACAGGAGGTACTATGCCTTCCTCCATTACTCACACCTTAGGCAAAAGCCACACTTACACACAAGCATTCACATAGACTACACTACTGATACCCATATGTGTGCATCATACTGACATGTATATATGCCTACATACGTGCACTCACCAGGTACATACAGCACACTGCTACATCACACACACACACACA